GAACTGCCTATGGGACAGTGGCACGCTTGAACATCTTGAAACCAGATGAAAATAACTTTCCGCACATCCTCAAATTGTGTGCTATGTGTTTTATTCCTGCTGGACTCAACATTGGATCTTCTTAACTTTTTTCAATGTTGGATGATCTTTTAAAATCATTGACAGAATGGAAAGGGTGATGCCAAACTCCCTTGCAACATCTAATTTTTACTCAGAATCAACTTCTTGTAGAAAGAAGCTTTTTGAACAATGAAAATTGGTTGCATTTTTCCCCTTTGGCATATTTCATTATGAAGTTTGACAAGATTATTTTCAGTGACTGATGGATCATAACAACAGCATAGTAAAGTATATTACCCATTTGATACTAAAGTAGTGTAAGGATTCGTTGAATATAAAACTCATATTTACATTCTCCTTCTTGTAACTTCCTAGTATCATCTCCGTACACATCTTATTTGGTGGTGGCATTCCTGGCCTATGGTCTGAAAGATCCTGTCACTGGTGTCATCCACTCATTTATGGATTTTCACTGGGTACTTCCGGAATATTCTAACATGGGTAACAAATAATCCAGTCCACCCACCACACCAGCCTTAATCTAAGGCATCTTCTAGACATTTCCCTTTTGTCCAGTCATCTATGGAACTTCATAATCATTTTCGTCCAACCCATCCCAGTGTTTTAATATGTTGGGAATGTTCTGCATAGCGAAAAAAACCTTTGGTAATCTGAAATTTACATTGACAGTTCTTAAGCTAAGTCTTACAGGTGGCCAAATTGGACTTCAAATTGTTTGCTATAATGAGGGGTTATCTGTATGTTTAACAGTAAAAAATAAGCACTCTCTCTCAAATACACTTTTTAATGTTCTTTAAAACTATATTGTTTGATTTTAAAAGAAGTACAACAAATCCAAAAAATAAATTTAAATACTTTGTTGTCATAGCAATCACAAACATATTAAATTACAAATATTATTAATTACAAGTATTAATTCTTTACATATATAGTAAAATATAGAATGAAAATTTAAACAGAATGAATCTTTATTTATTTAAAATATAAATTTTACAATAATTCATAATTTATAATCTGCTTTTACAGCTATCTCTATTACATTATATATGATAAAGAAAATTTGAACCTAATTTTATTGTGCTTAATTAACATAGGGCTAATTAATCCAAAATGAACATCAAGACAAATCAAACTCTGAATGCCAATTTTTACAAAATTTAAAATTAAAATGGTCCCGAGAATATAAAAGTAAAGTAAAGTAGTTCACTGACCATTTATAGAAGAAAATGTTGCATGCTCTTTGTCATAATGGAAATGTTTGTTAAAAGATTGCAGTGACAAAGTTCAATATCAACATTTTCTAAAGGAAGGTGTGTGGAGCAGATAACCTGAACAATTAAAAAAGAACATTATTTAAAATTGATTCTGAAATATGAATAAATATAGTAATGATTTCAAATAAATGTAATCACTTCCAGCCACACTTACCATTGAGTTGATTATCCACAAAGTAATTTTCATACATACATGTCACATAGCTGCTCTATTGGTATGTCAGAAGCCTAAATGATGTCACATAACTCCTGGCTTTAAGTGCTCACAATCAGTTAAATCTATTAAACATATAAAAAATAAAATGTTAGAATCATCAATGTATTCAAGAATTGAAAAAACAGCTATTTTTAATATAAAAATAAGCAAGCAAACATTAAAATTCTAGTTAAGCTTCATTTTCATATGTATTAATAAAAATTAAACCATATACTAAGAGAAATGAAACAATTTCTTTTAAAAGAAATGGTTTATTTAAAATTGTAGCATTTTCTAAAATTTAACATTGGTTTAAGCAAAAATTAGAGTATTAATTACAGCTTAGATAGAACTTCTGGTTATATAAATGGCATTCTAGGTATTACTGCAAATAAATTAAGTGTAGTATTGTGATTTGATTTGTGTAAAGCTGTATATTTGAGTATTGGGTGTTGTTAAGTTATGTACTTTATGAATGAGCAATGGTGTTAAATTGCCCCAATTGTCAAAAATTACCCAAATTCAATAAAACAATTCTTAATAAGGAAATATTACAAAAGTCAAGTGAAATCTTGATAAGTTAAAGTTATATTTGTATATATAAAACAATTAGTTCTTAAATTAAGGAAGATATTGTTCTTCATCACAATAATACAAGATAAAATTCAAATATATTTACTATACAATCACACAAAAAATTATAAATAATACATCATATATATTGTTATTACATATTATATTATATATGTAATCAGAATTCTCAATAAAATATATTAAAATTAATATTATAGAAGGAATGAAAAGATATATAAAATCAGTATGGCGCCGAACGTCCGTAGTTTTCGCGTTTAAAACGTCGGCCGCAACCTCTCTATTATGATTTAAACTTTCTTCTAATGTCTTTCTTAAATGTTTATAATTTATCTTGATATGAAATAAATATAATTTGAAGGACTAATTTATTATTTTTAATTAAAATTGCAATTCGTATTACTTTGAATTGGTGAATGAATAACATTACTTTTCAAGCATCATTCTACTACAATAAATTCTTAGATTCATCAATGAGGATTCTAAACTTTTATATGCCATTTTCTACTGCATCAATGTACAGAATTAGAATGAAAATAAAAAAGTCTTACCTTTCCTTTGTTAATTTTTTGAGCAAAGAAGTTTTTAAAATGATTCCATGTTTCTTTGGAAAGTGGATTATAAAATTTGAGAATGATACTTCTTTCTAGAATAATTTAAGAATTTAAATATTAAGAATAGAAAAAATCGAGATGATTGATTAACTAATTAATTTAATAATAAAACCATTTTCTAATATAAAACATTTATTGTTTCATTCAAAAGAATATAAGACGATATACAAGCGAATATCATTTATAATCTGATAATTTAATTCGATGCTAAGTGGAAACAACCTTAAATATTTTAAGTAAAATTTAAGACTTTTACTTAATATTCTATCGACAATTATTCAATTTTGATCGCTTATAAATAAAAAAACGTTACATTGCCTGCGTTATTCGGGTTTTTGTAATTAAACATTTACGAAAAATCTCGAAATGGATTGAAAAATAACTCGCAATTTCCATAAAACTTTCTATTTCAAGATGGCGTCGGCAATACGAAATCGAACGAATTCGAATCGGTGGAACGTGCGATAAATGAGTCACACGTTACGTCATAAGTTCTACGTCAGAATATTAACTAATTGCAAATGTTATCTTTAAAATGCTAAAATAGTCCTCTTTTTTGTAAAATATCGCTAAGATATTTGTAATAATAAATAAAATTATAAAAATGCATTCCGTAACCTTACAGGTTACAGGCCGCAAATATAGGTTTAAAGCGTATCTAATTTAATCTATTTAATTTTTATATAAATCGAAAAATATTATGTTACCTACGTTACGCGAGTTTTCATTATTAAAATTTGTACGAAAAATGTTAAAATGGAGGGAAAAAGAACTCGCAATTTCCGGATAGCATAAATTTCCAAGATGGCGTCGGCAACAATACGAAATGGAACGAATTCGAAATTGTCGTTGCAATGCGTCACGCGTTACGTCACGAGTTTTACGTCATAGATGTAATATTTCGAGTATTTTCATTGCATTTTTTTTAAAGGAAAGTTTATTTTTAACAAATTCTTTTCTCTCGGATTTGGCAGAATATTTGTTAAATGTAAAACTTCGCTAAAAAGAAAATTTACTCAGATTACATTACAAGTGGTTGGGGTTTGATTGGAAACAATTGCTTCCACCATTGTAAGATCGGGAATTTACAACATATTTCATACAACTGAAAGTTTTAATTTATATTGCCACAATATTTTCTTAACTGTGAAAGAATGGGTAGCTGCACTTCCTTCTTGCGGATTGATTGTGTAATTTACATAATAAACAACAACCCAGCACATTCCTATTACCAAATGATCTGTCAGATTATCTATTGAGTTATGTTGAGCCTAATAACTAATTACATAACAAATCAGTTTGGCTAGAGATAGGTGGTTTAGCTGCTCTCATAATAAATTTAAAAGTTAGAATTAAATTAATTTTAAATTTAGAATATTCCGAAAATAAATAATTGCCCAGAATGGGACTCAAATCCACAATTCTTGATTTATTTATTAAAATATTGTTTTCTAATCCTTGGTGTTCTAAATAAAATGTCACGTCCGGGGGAAACCCACCCGTCGCCGGCCGTTTTCGGTTTTAATAACGACACTCTAGCTAATTAGGGTGGAAATCAATTATTTCTGAGTTATATTTTCTTTGTCTGGGATGTTTTTATAATTTTTATACAATTAATAGGTTTTATGGTTCATATTTAATAATAATTTAAAAGTCTATAGGCCTATATAAAAACTAGCAGATTAGCCCAGTGTAGGTCAGTTAAAACATCAACAGCAAACATTAAGGCCTCATTCACAACCAAGGATAAAGAGTTAGAGGTTGACCAATAAGCGTTTACGTGTTAAAAGTGAATGGTAATTGGTTAACCTCTAGCTGTAACTCTTGATCATTAGTCCATTCAAATGACTGAATTTAGCGCGTCGTGTTGTTACTAAAAGAGTTCGGGTTCGATTTTTTTCCAGAACCTAGGCTTCTCCGATAAACCTACGTTGAAAAAACAGCTAAAGAATCAAAATCTAATATACATGATGAAATATTTACTTAATACAACGTGTATATTCTGCGATATCATCTCTGGTTCCGTCCCTTGCCACAAGATTATATCATTTGGCTCCGATCAAACGCGATGGGTTAGTATTCACAGAAATAAAGGAATATAAAAAAATTAATTAAAATGTATAATAATAATATAAATAAATATATAAGCATCGATAAAACAACAAAAGTATTAGCTAAACAATTAACAGGATATATTTTTTTTTAATACAGTATTTGTAAAGAAAGTCAATTTCTACCGCCAGGTGTCGCCGAGATAATGCCGTGTATTTTGAAACGTGGTTGTAATTTGTTTTGCATTTGTTTATTAAATCTTTTAACAGTTTAATATTACTAACGCGTATTTATTTTATAATGGTAAGTTCTTCGTTTGGTCGAGTTCACAAAAATAAACTGTTTAATAGAAATTAATTTTTAAATAAATTATTCTCAATCATACTGAGATTGGTAGAAATTAATTTTAAATCAGTCATTCTTAATATGGGGCTCCCTGGGGCCATGGAAAATTGGAGGGCGCAGAGAGTTGAAACAACACATGAGCAATAGGCGATAGTCATAATTCAATCTAGTGGTGGTCACGCTACGGCTCGAGTCGTATGGGATTTTCTGCATTTTGGTGACCGCATTTGGGAGCAAATGGCATCTGCAACTTACCGTCTGAGATTATGGGGTTGATTTCCTCTTTTACATATATACATACATGTATAGGTTTGAACAAATTTAACATGCTTTGCCGGCTGATGAAAATAAAAAGAGAAAATTAAAATAGATATTACACTATTATAACATCTATATATTTTAAGTATATAAAAATACAGTAGCCTTGTTACATTGCTTATTCAGATATATTACTCATTTGGTTTGTATCCCTACATGTACAATATAATGAGGGGACTATTGCATTCTTATATAACAGGTGTGGCCAAACTTTTATCCCTTAGGGACTACTTTTTTGGTAAAATATAGTCTGCGGGCGACTATGAATATGGGCAAACAGTTTTAGGATTTTTATATGCACATGAGTTAACATTCATTTGCATTGTTCATCAGGATAATTACAAACAGTATGGGTACGTTGCATGGACAGTCTATTATTGTAAGAATAAATTATCGAATTAAGATTTTTAAACATTAATTTAAGTGAAAGCAAATTGTTCAACTTTAGCTTCATGGACTACTTTCAAAACATTTGTGGCCGCGGTCTACGTGTTGGCCATCCCTGTTATATAACATTATATAAGAAACTTTGCATTTAAAATTTTTACATGTCAAGTGCATAAAATTTATTGAAGACAGGCATTTTGTAAATATTAAATTACAGATTATTACAAAAACAATTCTACCATTTTAAATTTCTGTAATTATGTTAATTATTACCTGAGAAGTATACGTTGTTCACCAATTGATAGAGTAACTGTTCAAGTTTCGTTTAACATCTGCATTCAAATGTCTTTTTGTCTATCATCTCTAGGAAGTGCTGTAAATAATAATGGTAGCACTGCAACAGAGAAGGCATTCTGTGTCCTGCAGTCCACAAACTCAGAATTGGTCATCATTGTGCAACAAGAATGTTTGCCTTATATTGTGGATCATTTTGAAGTTGTTTGCAAATGACAATTTCAAAGTGATCCACCAAAATTGATTCTGACTTTGAGAACTGCAGGACACGAAACACTTTATTATAGAGTCGTCATTTTTGTTTTTAAAGCTTCCTAGAGGCAGCAGACAAAAAGATGTTCGTATGCAGATGGTAGTTGAAACTCAGACATTTACTCTGTAGATTGATATACATTGCATACTTCTCATTACATACGTTGATAATTAACATAGTTATAATTTAAAATAGTAGCATTGTTTTTGGAAGAGCCTGTATAATTAATATTGTGTTCTTAAGTTACCAAGTGGTCAAATTTTTAATTAACTTCTTAAAAGAAGTCCAGATTGAAGATTAATTTAGAAACTAAGAGTTGTGTTAATACTATGTTAATATTAAAAAAATTTTGCATACAGTAAATTTTATTATTATTATATAATGATTAACACAATATTTTTATCCTAACACTAATTATCTTTTTATCAAATATTTAAAATAATTTTACAGTCAGTTACTCTTCATACTGATGTTGGTAATATTAAAATTGAACTTTTCTGTGAGCAATGTCCTAAAGCTTGTGAGGTAAGCTTTTATAAATTTAAACTCAATATAAAATATTAGTTTAATTTGAATATATTTTATTTCAGAATTTTCTTGCATTGTGTGCTAGTGATTATTACAATGGTTGCTTATTTCATAGAAATCTGAAAGGTTTTATGGTTCAAACAGGAGATCCAACAGGTAAATTTTGACTTTCAGAAGATTTTTTATTCTAATACTGTTTTAAAATAATAATATACAATCATAACTTAATGTCTGATTTCTGTTACAACAAATGATGTTCTTTAGTAGTCATTGCAATTTTCAAATCCGATATCATAGAACAGTAGATTTGCTTATCAGCCATTCCTTGCACAGAAGGGTTCCAGATTATTGATCATTTAAGCTTAAATCTGTGTAAAGGAAATGAATGATGTAACCAATTGCTCTCGGGCACAGATTTTTTTTGGAGGCAGTCGAGTAAATACAGTAAGACCTTGCTTAATGTGGGAGATGTGTTCCTAGATGACAAAGCGCTAAGTGAAACAGCGTTAAACGAGGTCATTTTAACATAGAGTAAATAGGGATAGGGGAACATGTGACCAAAAATAAAAAAAAATTTTACTTTAATTTTAAGTTATTTTTATATTAATTTGTATAATAATATATAAATAAACATCTCCATTTAGAATTTAGCATTAAAATAGCCCGATTAATTTACGGCATTCGGTTGGTGTCTTAGTATAATAATATATGTTAAATAACATATAAACATATGCACACAGAAATGTATAATAATATATTAATTGATTAGTTCATTTTTTGTGACGAAGGTACTGACTTTTCTGAAAATCTTGTTTTTTTACAATAAAGTCATGAAGTTTCATTTGTCACTTTTTTCTCTCCTTAAGCAAATGTCAGTAGCAGAAGATTGCATCCAAAACACTTCGCTTTGCTTTTGCACTCCTTTTGCTTTTTGCACTCCTTTGCTTTGCACTCTAATCTAGATAATTCACTANATTTAGAACCGCTGGGAGAAAAAATCGGCCCGGAGCGGGACTCGAACCCACAACTCCTGCTTACCGTGCAGATGCGTTGCCAGTTACGCTATCTGGACCTCCGTTCCGATCTTCTCTTCCAGCGTATAACTATGTAACCATCGACGGTTATTACAATGCCGGCTGGGGACACATTCATTGCCCACGTCCTACTCCTATAAGGCACTCAACCGGCCATCGCAAGCCCCGGCAAGGCGTAATATATATAAATAAACATCTCCATTTAGAATTTAGCATTAAAATAGCCCGATTAATTTACGGCATTCGGTTGGTGTCTTAGTATAATAATATATGTTAAATAACATATAAACATATGCACACAGAAATGTATAATAATATATTAATTGATTAGTTCATTTTTTGTGACGAAGGTACTGACTTTTCTGAAAATCTTGTTTTTTTACAATAAAGTCATGAAGTTTCATTTGTCACTTTTTTCTCTCCTTAAGCAAATGTCAGTAGCAGAAGATTGCATCCAAAACACTTCGCTTTGCTTTTGCACTCCTTTTGCTTTTTGCACTCCTTTGCTTTGCACTCTAATCTAGATAATTCACTACAATTTGATCAACAATTTTGGTTATTGTTACCAAACTTTTTACTAAGGAAATCTGTAGAGAAATTTTTTGGGTTCTTCATTTTCAGAATCTCTGTTGTCCAGTTCTATATGGATTCCTTGTTCTGCCAGTTCTTGAAGTCATTGTTGGTAAGGCTCTTACCAGAAACCTGCAGTAACTCCCCAATATCCTGCTCGTCTACATCTCCTGCATTGATTAAGTTGACAATTTTGTCAACCTAACTATACAGTGATAGGTTCTTCTCGATGAGAATTCTTGGATACCTTCAGCCATAACTTCTTCCACACTCCGTTCATGCATTTATCAGTTAATTCTTGCCAAGCCAAGTCGCTATTTCCTAAGGCATCCATGATGTTATATTTTTTCCAAAATTGCACCAAACAAACATAGATTTAAGGGAAGTACAGCACTACGACAAATTGCCATCTTTTGCTGATTGGTTTGTGTTTGGGAATAATCGTATTATATACGAGTCAATGAAATACCACATTAATTTGAATCAGTGTAAATTCTGAGCATTTTTTAGGCATCAGGCAGACCGCGTTATATTGTATCAGCGTTAAGCGGGGTCTTACTGTACAGTACTATGGCTGCTGATAAATATTACTGTACACAGAAATGAAACTTTAAACAGGACTAACATTTTCACAGAAATGGAAGCATATAGGCACTAGGAGTAGGCTGGGTTATTGAGGATGAGACCTGATGTATACAGGATGGATCATCCCTTGAAAAATTCCTGGTTTTCCAATCTGTTCAGATTTGATCCTGGATCCCCAAATCATTAGGCTGCCACTTTACCTGCTTGGCTCCAGTTCAACTTTTCAGATGGATTGGAATGAGTTAAATTTTTCTCATAAGATATAATTGTAAAACTTCCTGATATTTGAATCATTTTCAGAAATACATTAGATTTGTGTAATAAGGTATTTTAAAATACAAAAAATGCAATAAATAGTCATTTGATAAGTTTGTAAAACAAATTTATTAGATTTTACTTTAAAATAAGATTAAAGTACTACTTTCAGGAAGATAAAAACATTTTCAGGCTGCTATTTTCAAATTACAGACCTATATATTCCCATCATTGTCCATCTGTCTGTTGTCTGTCCTTTGTTAGTCTGGAGAACAGAGTTACATGGATGAAAATCGAGACCAGATATGGAAAGCTTAGGAGCCAGAGGTTCCAATTAACTGTATATGAACTTTTTGTTTGGTCTGAAAGTCATGTGATTTCAATTAAAAATTTTCTCAAGAACAGAGTTAGATAGATGATCGGCATGACTTGATTGTTATCAGAAGTGATGTGCAGGGGCAAGACACCACAAAAATCCAGACTAGTGTGGAAAACTTAGGGGTTGGAGACCTGAATGAACTATGCATGAATGATTACAGTATTTATGTATTAAAACAATAATAATAAAATTAAGGAGTAGTAACTTATATAAACAGTATACAAAATTATAGAACAAATTACAATATGACAACTTATTAAATATTTAAGAGAGTAAATGAATGTATTCATAATAGTAATGTTGTTTCATTTTACTTAAAACTTCCTAAGTTTTTCAGCTTATTCATCATTTCCTTTATAATTTTATAACCTACATGCTTATTACATTACAAGCATATTGAATTTCACTTTCTGCATCATAAATATAAATATAAATATTGTCTGTTGATAACACCTACTCAGATAATTCCATATTTCTATATTTAAATATCTACTACTGTTATGAGCTTATTTAGTCTCATAACAAGATTAAAATATTTTCTAGCAATATAATATTTGTGTTTGATTTGAATGCATCTATTGAGAATTTCAATGTTTTATGTTTTCAGTTCACTTTGTATTCAATTCATAATAAAAGTTGAGTTTTTACATACAAAAAATAAAATACCAATTACATAGAGACAGCTAAAAGAATAGAGAAATCTATATTAATTGTTATAGTTTAATAGCTTTATTTTTATAGTTTAAATCTTTTAATTTCAGGTACAGGTAAAGGTGGAACAAGTATTTGGCAAACTAAGTTTGAAGATGAATTTAGAGATGAATTAAAGGTAAACTTTAGTTGCATTTGATTTAATATTTAATATAAAGGTTGATCACCAAATTCCTAATATCCCAGTTGTCGAGTCTTAGTGAAATTTTTATCATCTTTATAATTTTACTGGATTGAAATTTACTTAATTAATTAATTGTTGGAAATTTGTTGGTCAGCCTATATTTACTAGTTTATTAATAATAAAGTCAATGTTTTTTTTTTTAATATTAGCATAATACACGAGGCATGGTATCTATGGCAAATAATGGTCCTAATACGAATGGTTCACAATTTTTTATCACATACTCAAAACAGCCACATCTCGATATGAAATACACAGTATTTGGAAGGTTAGAATTCTGAAAATTATAATTATAATTAAGTAATAATTTCTCTTAAGTATTTAATTATTATGTTTTGGTCTAGAGTTATTGATGGACTAGAAGCATTGGATGAATTAGAAAAACTACCGGTCAATCCAAAAAACTACCGACCCCTGCACGAAACCCGTCTAAATAGTGTAACTATCCATGCAAATCCATTTGCTAAATAAATGTTTTCTAGCATTTAAAATACTTTTATCTTATTCATTTCAGTATGATTATTATATTTACATCCATATATAAAAATAAATTAATTAATATTAGAAAAAAAATGATTAAAAGTTCTATATTTTAATTTTAACAAGCATTTATTTATTTCTTAAAAATGCCTTGGTGACACCCAAATAATGTGTCATCTGTAGTTTGCTGGATAATTTAATTAATTTTTCTTATATAATATTAAGCCCTCAAAATTTTTTGAAGATGTTATTCATTACTTAAGAGTTGTGTATTTAGAATATACAAGAATAGATTAAACACAACAGTTATAGTGTTACAATCTCTACTTTTAAAATTTGTGCAATCCTATCTCTCTTCATAAACAAAGCAAACAAAACCAATTTTTAGCACAAAAATTATTAGAAGGCAAATATTTTCAGCCCTGTTAGATGGACATATTCAGGCTAACTGATCTTCTCAGCTCTTAAAACAAGAGGATTGCCGTCCATGTGTTAATAGGAGTGACATGAGAGAATGGGGGTTGTAAGATTAAAGATTTGTACATTCTTTCTCCCCTATATGGAAGTTGATCTACAATCTTTAATCTTACAACCCTCTTTCCCTCCTCCCTCTCTCTCTTACATCACCCCTATTAATACATGGATGGCAATCCCATTGTTTTAACAGCTGTGAAGGTCAGTTAGCCTTGATTATGCCTATTTAACATGGTTGAAAACATCCGCTTTCTCATAATTTTCATGCTGGAAATTGATTTTGTTTGCCGTTTATTAAGTATATGCAGTTTTGTGTTATTGATCATATCATCTCTTCTCATTTTTAACTGTAAAATTATTATGTATTTCTCCAAAAACAAAAATAACATTTGGAACTAACTATATTAAAAGAAATGCATTACACTGAATAGAAAAAAAAAACAATTTTGACTCTGATCTCAACAGATAGATTTAAATATACATTAGAAGTCTTCATAGCTAATGCTTTGAATTGAATAAAAATGATAAAAGTCTTCTCTATAAAGTTTTTTTTTTTATTTAACTCTGATCATTGAGAAAAACATCACCAACAATATCTTATCTTTAGATTCATTGTATGGTAGTGTGTCCTTTCGCTTTCTAACATATACATTAAACTCAACTGATATAAATATTTGATTGGATGAAGATTCAGTATATCTAATGATATTATGGACTATATTGTTGTAAAGTATATTCTACTCTTTTGTTCTACATTTGTTTCTGGAAACATTTTATAATGCAATAAATTTCATTATAGAACAATATAAAGATGTGTATGGAGTGACTTTTAACATATATAAAAAGTAATGGTTACTCCTGTTGAAATTTGTGTATTAATTAAAAGTTAAGACGTGTTCAAAAATTTTCAGAAAGACATATAAAATATTTAATGTTTTTAATTTGCACGATTAGTTTCATGCATTCATATGCTGGTGGTCATGGAATTATCACATAATAAGGAAAATTTATGCCTTTCTCATACTCTCCAGCAGTAACTGTTTAATTAACTTTAGTCAACATTCAGGTTAAGTTTATATGAAATTGAATATCTATACTGAGTTTGAAGTTTATCTCTCCAGAATTTGAGTTCTCCCAATTTAAACAATCACATTTTACATTTGAATAGAATTTTGTTGCATAGTATTCAATAGTGTACCCAAAATGAGTTTCTAGATTATCTGAAAGCCCTCGTACTGTAAGTTTCCACTGAATTAGACAATTACCTTCCTATCTAAATCTATTATGAAGGTTAACAACAATAATTTTTAAAACATGGTTATAGTTTGATTTACAAAGCATAGCTTTTGATTTTTCTCTCTCCCCATCCTAAGAAACCTTCTTTCCAGGCCCACAATGGAGCCTGAGATATCTAGAATGTACCACCCACAAAAAATTCCTCATATTCTGCACTCAGATTTGATCCAGGATCCTCCAAAGAGGCAGGCTGGTCATTACTGTTTTGGCCATCTAGCCTGTAAAAAATACATATGTAATCCATTAAAAAATAATGAATTTTCCTCTCTGTGTTTAGTATATTGCTTTTTTAATAATTTTTTCATCAGTAAAAATGAAACTGAAAATGTAATTTAATTTATTTAATCTTTACTACTACATATTTAACTATTACAGAGCATTCCTTTATTTTAAAATATAAAAAGTATTTACAAACAAAAATATATTTACATCAAATTAAATCAATGTAATAATGCATAACTGATTTTTGCTCATGATGAATCTTCATCCTGATTTTCCTCTTGCATTTTTTCGTGTGTTTCCTCTTGCATTTTTTCTTGTGTTTCCTCTTGCATTTCTTCTTGTGTTTCCTCTTGCATTTCTTCTTGTGTTTCCTCTTGCATTTCTTCTTGTGTTTCCTCTTGTATTTTTTCTTGTGTTTCCTCTGTCATATTTGAGACTTCATTAACAATGCTAGTCTGTCCTAATGCACTCTTCTGTGCTCGAATTTCAGCTGTCATTAGTTCGATTTTCTGTTGATAAAACTCATAAATAAATCTCACCATCTGCGGCATGTCTTTTATAACCAGCGGATCTCCAAGAGGAACGGACTCGTCACTCCGGGCAGTCGGATAATTTTCATAAGGCGCAAGGTGCAATTCAAGAGGCCGTTTCATTAACAAGTTAAATGTTGGAGTTAATTCGAAACAATTCTGAAACAGAGCAACCCTGGCAAAAATATACAAACCCAGTCTGGCTCGAGACATCGCTACCACCAAACGCCTCACGTCGCGAAGATGACCGACAGCTTTAGTTCTCACCAAGGATAACAGAATGTAATCGTTTTGTTGACCTTGATATTTATCAACTGTGGTTATTCTACGAGGTCTTCCAATTAAGTAATTATTTGCTGCACGCTGATTGATTACGTCTCTTATTAAATGTTTCTGTCCATTGTAAGTTGTAAGAATAGTTATCTTATCTGCTGGATAACCAAGAAGACGCATATACATGAAGACTGCAACTACATATTCTGCTTCTGCAAGATTCTGTACGGGAAAGAAAATTATTACAAATTTACACTTCAGTACATATATAACAGTAATCTAAACTTTGTTAATCAATGTTTTATTGTTTTCTTTTGTACATGCAAATAACTTAAAAACAACCTCATATAATACAGGGGTTGGACAAAAATATGGAAACACCAAAAAGAAACCTATTACTAAGCCCTAATATGGTGTAGGAAAACCGTTGGCATTCAAAACAGCTTGCAGTCTTCTCGGAATGGATAAATACAGGTCCTGTATGGTTTTCAAGAGAATCTTGTACATTCCTCCTGCAAAATAGTGGCAAGTTCAGGTAACGATGATGGAGGTGGATAGTGATCACACACCCGTCTCTCCAAAGTAGACCACAAAGGCTCAATAATATTGATGTCTGGTGACTGTGGTGGCCAGAGGAGATGTGACAAATCACCCTCGTGCTCACAAAACCAGTGTTGGACAATATGAACTGTGAACAGGTGCCCTGTTGTCTTGGAAGACAGCATCACCATTGTACCATGGGATGGACACAATTGCCCAAAATGGTTACATAATCTTTGGCAGTAATGTGACCATGCAGAATAATCATGGGGCCCCTGGAATACCATGATATGACTCCCCAAATCATCACAGAACCCCCACCATGTTTCACTCTTGGCAGCAAGCAGTCTGCATCGTAGGCTTGGGACCGTGTTCACCAGACATAAATTCGGTCACAGGTTGGAAACAGTGTAAAACAAGACTCACCTGACCAAATGACTCTTTTCCATTGGCTCCATAGTCCAGGTTTTATGGCTTCGGCACCACATTTTCCTCTTATGGACATTTTCATCACTGATTAATGGTTTTGGAATTGCAGCTTGCCCTGAAAGTCCCTGCTTATGGAGCTCCCTTCAAACTGTTTTGGTGCTGACAGAGCTTGTGAGTTCCATATTCAGTTCGGCAGTGACTTTTGCAAGCTATAGTCTTCTTATTTTTTGTCACAATCCTCTTCAATGACCGCCTGTCACGATCACTCAACACACACTTTCGTCCATGTTGTGATTTAGCGGATGATGTTTTTCCGCTTGTTCTGTATGCAGTATAAATCTTCGTTACGGTGTCTCTTGACAAACCAAACACTTCGGCCACCTTGGTTACGGAAGCACTCACCATACCAGCACCAACAATTTACCCACGTTCGAATTTGCTTAGCTCTGACATTGTGTACTCCCACCTACACAGAACATAGTTCTAACTATGACTGACACGTGCAACGTATTGAGGAGATTGCATAGGTGTCATTAGTAGTCAAATACAACAGTGCAACCTAGAGGCTTGGCTAGAATCAACATTTACGTTCAACTATGCATTTCATGAGGAGTTTCCATATTTTTGTCCAACCCCTGTATTTAATGTATGTGTCTCACAAATATAAATGTTTTTGGTCTGTTCACAGGTCCTCTTCTCTGGTGATTTCAAGCCAGATGCCTTACACCATGAAGATGACCAATGGCTTTAATTCTCGCCAAGGATATCAAAATTTTCGCTTAGTATAACCCTACTTAAAAATATAAATGGAATATGCAAAAAGTACTGAGTCTACAGTTCTTTTATAGGTCTGATTAATTGATTTCAATTAAAAAGTTTCTTGAGAACAGTTAGATACATGAAAATCAAGATCAGATGCAGAAATCTTATTTTTAAATTAAAATATGATTAAAAACTGCAGTCTGGCATTGTGACAATGTCACAATAAGTAATTGTTTGTTTTCATTATTTACAAATAAAGACATGTATATAGGAACACCAAATTAACATTAATAAAGGTCACACCAATAAAAAACTTCAGAATATATTTTAGAAGATGAATATACTCCACATTGGAAATGAAACCATAAAACATGAGCTGGTTAATGGAATTTTATTATATTTAACTGATTGATATTTTGTAAATTTTCTCAAAATAAAATGAATACTTTTCCACTTACATAGCAATTGCTATGTAAGTGCAAAAGTACAGAGCTCACATTGTATTACTACTTCGTGATAATACAAAAATGCATGTTGCCATGCCATTCAAATGAGCTTACTACTAAACAATTCTAGCAGAAAATATTTCATCGCTTATTCCACATCCTCTGTCTTATGCCTTTTGTCTGTTTCTGCACTTGATAACATTTTTAGCAGGCAATGATTTAACATTAACAAAGACAAAACAGTCATACAAGATTAGAGTTAAGAATCTGACAGTAGATTTTTTTGATAAGGGAATAAAAGAGCTTGTACAATGATTTGTAATGTTCTCAATGTTGATTGTGATGATAAGCACATTCATTTTGTCAGAATAATGTACATGCATATGTCAAACATCTGTAAAAGTGTTCACTGTTCAGACAGAATTAATGTGCTTTATGTAGAAAAGTAGGTAGATGCCTATGTGTTATCGAGAATAAAACAATATCCAAATATTTTCCTTGTATTTTATGGTCAAGCAGAATTTTCTCTCTGAACACCTATCATATGTAACCCCATTAATGCAAACAATCCCATACAATAATTTGAGCTTAACAAGAGTGCACTATACATTAAATGTAATTTAACTATAATTACAGAAGTTATCCTAAAACATTTTATCATTAAATTATCATTTACCTGATAAAAATATGGATTTGGTTCAGATTCACCAATCCCATTGAAATCTTCAACATTAACTAACTGATAATCAAAATGGAATCCTGCATTTGCAATTCTATATTCTGTCCAACTAAGTACATGTGGAAGATTACCAAGATTGTTATATCTCCAGTTATAAAGATTGCATATACTGGGGCGTGATCTTCCTTGTGCATCAAGTTCTACAGTTGGTACACCAAGACGAACAAATCTCGTAAACAAAGATTGTTCCATGTTACTATACTTCTGAAAAGCCATGTTTTTTATAACAGGAGGTAACTGATGATGATCTCCGATCATTATCCATCGTTTTAAACGGTTGTAATGATTTTCAGGATTTTGTAACAACAAAGGTATGAAAGTTTCGATCTCGAGAATCTGAGCAGATTCTTCCATTAAAATATTATCGTATTTAAAACCAAGTTCTACTAGTTCTTGTCGTTTTAATGCAGCATGAGTACAAGTCATAGCGATTATTTTAGCTTCTTTTACTAGTAAATATCTAGATCGGTCGAGACCACTTCTTAATAATTCAAATGCACGAAACTCTTCCAGTTGCGTAAATATTTTTTTAATATACCGAAAACAGCCTTCGGCAATTCCAAAATCTTTCTCGTAAGATTCTCCCGTAAAAAGTGGCTGAGGTGCATTTTCAAAAAAATTCGTAAATGGAAATAATTCACTAACTTCTTGCAGCGATACCTTTTTACCGTGTCTAGGTTTCACTTTACTTAAATATTCTTCCCAGCGAGAGAGAATGTGATAAAGGAAAAAATATCCTGCCGTTTCGCAAGTATGAGCGACATCTCCTGGTGCACCCAAACTCTTTTGTAACCTATCTACTTCGTTTAAGAGATCCAAACGTTTTGCTAATACAAAATTTACTCGCCCATATCTGCTGAAATCTTTTTCTGTTTCTAAAGCCTCTTCGCCATGTCCAAGTCGAAGTAAATGTCTTTCATCCACATCCAAAGCCATAATTTTTTCAAAAAGCTGATTCAAAGCTTGATTAGAATGTGTTACAATTAAGGTCCTTTGTTCTGGAAAGTTGTGATAAAGATTTGAAATTATTTGTACCGCCACATCTGTTTTACCTGTACCTGGAGGACCAACAACCATAGTAAGACCAGGCTGCATACCTGCACGAATAGCTTCTACTTGAGTTGGTGTGAAACGTACTGTATTTTTCTTTGGTTGTTCATATGGATATGGGCCTCTGCTTGGTAAGATATGAGGAATAATGCAAATTTTTGGCTTTTCTTCTTTGGTTGTTTCCTCCTCATCACTTTTATGCTTTTTATCGGCACCACAAAATGATATTTTAAATGGTGGTACTAATTTAGTTGGATCATTTACCTTAACATCTATTTGGTGATTTGGAAAACAGTCTCTTAAGTGATCCATGTCCAGAAAGGTATCATTAAAATCTAAAGTCTGAATTAAATTATCCATATTTGAATAATGTGCAGCATCAGGATCTCCATATCCTAAAATAATGTCATGAAGCCATTCTGGAACGACACATTCTGTATTCATTAAATCACGTATTGTCTGCAAAACTGCTTTAAAATTATTTTCTTTCGGTTTTCTTCTCATAATAATGTTAAATGTTTCATAAACATCTTCTTTTCCTTGAACATTTTTGTCCATATCCAATCTATACTGATTACAATCTAGCCAAACTCTGAATGTTCTAGTATCACCAGGAAGATTTGGTTTTGGTTCTGGTCCTTCCTCTATCACTCTACCATTTATATCCAACATACCTTCGATCTCACAACCCCGAACGCATGTAAGTCCAACTTGGGGAATAAACGGCTCTTTGTAATTATAAGGTGTACCAGGAGGATTTGGTGGAACAACGGTGATTAAAAAACAAACATCATGCTTTCTCAACGCTTCCCATTCATCTTTGATTTCTTGTCGAACATTTAAATTTACGGTGACATCTGCTCTTACTCTAGATGGTTGTTTTTCTCCAATGTTAGGTTTACCAACTTCAATAATTGCAAAATTTACAATAGGTTGAGCCATTCTTGCCCATCCACCAAACATAAAACCTCCTTCTTCAGTTTTCCAAGGTTTCAATCTACTAACTGAATCTTCAATATCTTGCCGAATTTCGTATGTTGATTCTAAGCGAAAAAGATGAAAATTTCTCAAAAGATAATCGTGCAAAGTTAAAAACTGAAGATTTAATTTTGGTAGTGCCAGGCATCCTTCACCAGAAAAATATTCTGAAGGAACGACATTTTCGTCCCATATAATTGTTTCAGTTGGATATAAAGGCATTTCATTAAGAGCTTCCAACTGTGAAGTCTTCCTTTCGTGTCTAGATATTAATACTTCGTGTAAGAATTCTTCATCATAATTATTTTCTGTCTGTGGTGAAGGCAATAATTTTAAATAAGCAGCAATTTCTTGCACCCTTTTTTTATCCAAAAGTGAAAAATGCTTTTTCAAAGCACTCCGGCTGTCAATACTAGCAACATTTGCTAGTGCAAATTGTTTTAATTCAGGAAAATCTTTAAAAACTGCTCTCTGAAGTGCAGTTATCCTGTCGTAATGAATCTGCAATGTATTTCTTTCTGTTAATGCTTCGCCAGTATGATCATTTATTTCAAATCGCGTATAAAATTGTAGCATCTCCAACAGTTGGCTGAAAAGTCGTCCTTCCTCCCTTTTAACGATATTAGATAATCTGCATTTTACCACCAGATGACTGTCGTCTAAAAGAACATTAAAGAACCGACGAGTCGGCAAAAGAGCTTCGAGATCAATCATCAGTTCCAGAAATCTTTCGCAATAATGAATTTTTTCCCAAACATCTTTTCCCAGTGTCGGAACTTCCTCTTTGCTTGGTATAGAATCTAAATAACCGCAGAAGTTTTTAATCAAATTCGAAAGAAATCTTCTTTCGAAATTGACTTTTTCGAGAGCGGCTTCGTCCAATTTCGAATCGTTCTTCTTGATGACAGTCCAGAATTTTTTAAATTTCGGAAAAGATCTGAACTCATGCTCTCTCCTCTCGGGAAGTAAACATATCCACATGGAGAGGGACACCAGCCGCTGTATCTGTTCTCTGATGAGGTTAACTTCAACGCTGTTGAAGCAATGAATAAGAAATATAACCAAGATCATCCTCTCTTTTAAAGACACTTCGGTGTCGTCACTTAATGCTCGCTCCATTACTTGTCTGAAAAATGCAGGAAAATGCTCCGGCTTCTTCTGAAAGGTAGACCAAGCCGGGACCCTCTCTCGAAATTTCTCATTTACCATAATAACTATAGACATCATGTGAAGGTGTGATGCTTTCTCTGGATTGTAATTTGGCCACAGATAATTTTCTAAATACTGGCTGAACTCTAAGAGCATGATCCTTTTTATGGCATAGCCAGATCCTAATATTTCTTGTATATAAATATCATCTACTACGTTCGAGTCGTACTCTGACCATGTCGAAGCACTGTGCGGGGCCCAGTACTGATCAGCTAATTTAGTAATCGGATCAGTACTTATCTGCTCAACTGTTAACGCTAAATCTTTGGTTGACATCTTTATTCACAACACGCTTCAAACCACGCTACATCTACGTGTGACAGTGTTGCCAGCCATTTCGAAAATTCGTTTCATTTAAAAATAATAAATTAAAAATAAAAAAATATCAGATAATAAATATTTTAAAATAGTATTTAATGTAAAGTTAAACGTGCAGTAGAATTTTAGTTTCTTCGAAATTCTGTCGGAATTACTATTACGAGAATTCACGCCTTTTATTAAGAAAATGGCTTATTTCGTAATTTTTTATCATCGTTTCAACAGAAGTTTCCTGTCTACGATAGCAAATTTTAACGATAAGAAATAATTGATAATATTTTAAATTAAATACTTCATTAGAATTTCTTTTTAATATTCATGAAAAGTCGCGTTGAATTGTTCGTTTGTATTCGAGAAAATTGTGAATTTCTTTTATCAATCACTTAAAATAGTATTAATGGTGATTATTAATTAATAAATCAAGCATCTTATAAAAGTATTTTTTTTATTAAAGGGTAATTAAATGAGATATTATCGAAGACATAATATACGGCAGGAATAAAATTGCAAACCTTTGCAGGAAAACCAAATAAAGATTTACAGATAACATTTAATTGAATACAATTACGAACATTATTTATATTTCAGTGATTTCCTTTCAAATTTAGTATTTTATTCTCGTTAAAATTATCATTCGTGGAACCTAGGTGAATGTCACCCATGATCATCATCTGATTCTGCTCGCGGCCGGATGGCCGAGCGGTGAAGGTGGCAGCCTACCGCTCTGGGGGCCCGGGTTCGAATCCGAACGGGTCGAAAAAATCCCCAGGAATATTTCGGGGGGTGGTCCGTTCGGATATGTCGGACCCCGTCCCTCACCACCCGGCAGCCCCATTGTGGGCTTGGCCGAACCCATAATGGGCTTGCAAAAAGAGGCCCTCTTAGTGCCCACAGGGCGGAAAGAGTTTAAAAAAATTAATTCTGCTCCTCGTATATGATATTTACACCTTACGAGACAGGATTCAGGATTCATTGTGCATAAGACGGTAAATGAACTGGTAAAAGTCTTTAGTAAGTTATGTAGATGAGTACTCTATATCGGGTTTTTCTTTTACTCTTTCTACCCTGTGGGCACTAAGAGGTCTTGTTTTAGCGAACCCGTGTATAGGTTGAACCATGCTCATAGTGGGACGGTCGTGTGTCAGTTCAGATATGTCGGTTCACAATTGATCTAACATGTGTGAACGGCCTCCCAAAAATTTCTGAGGTTTTTCGATCTGTTTGAATTCGGTCCCTGTCTCCAGAACGGTAGGCTTCAGCCTCAATCTCTCGGATATCCAGTCGCTTCTTACGTCTTGCTGTGTGTTATCATATTTAATTTCTATCTTATTGCAGTTTCTCAAACTGGATCGTTTATCGTATGGGTCAGTTTATAGGTTTAACAGTGGCGTAGCGTGGGTATCAGCCGCCCGGGGCGGAGGAAAATTTCGCCGCCCCCTTATTTAGGTATCTCAATTTAAAAGACTAAAATTCAGTTTCGTCACAGAATAAGTAATGAAAAATTCCGTGCTCATTTCAATCGGTCCGAATCGTAGGTGCGACAAAAATATGAAATGAAATGGTTCAAATTTTTACAAGATATTATTTATTGTGAAATTTTGCCGCTCCCTAAAAGTGCCGCCCGCGCTACACTACGCGACTGAGGTTTAACGCTAAACCAGAATTTTAGAACTGGAAATCTTGACGTCGTCTTATATGCCGATATTACATACGGCTATAATTTTTTACAGTGGTTTTAGTTCTAGTTTACAATCAAATAAATCGCTCTGTGGACAGTAACAGGGCTTTTTTTTTCTTTTTTTTTATGTGTTCGAACCATAATGGGCTTGCTAAAAGAGGCCCTCACTACTTATTTTTTTAGCAGAGGACGGGAGCTGACATATCCGAACCGAATCCAAGTGGCCGGCCCGTTGTCGAGCCTAGCCACATGGAGTTTTTCGTGTTTTCCTTCACGCTAGTAACACCTAAATAGGAGCCAGACCATAGAAAGCCCTCCCCGGAAGCATCCCCTTCTCGGCAATCGCCCACGTATTGCATTTCCGTACACAATCAATCCAATCTGAACCGAACGAATCCCCGAAAAATTCCTGGGATTGTTTCTACTCGTTTGGATTCAATATTATTCTTCTTTTTTTTTTTAACTCTTTCTGCCCTGTGGGTACCGAGAAGCCTCTCTTTTGCAAGCCCAATATGGGTTCGGCCAGGCCCACAATGGAGCGGCGGGTGGTGAAGAACGGGGCTCGGCCATCCTGCCTATAAAATATACTGTTAAATTTTAAACACGAATTTACGATACTTTCTATAAATTACTTTTCCTAACAAAATATTTCATTTATGTTTTATCAACTACCGGTATCTTGTACCGTACATAACGTTGGATACTATAAATGAAATACGCCATCTACAATTAGAATTACATAAGGAAAATAACCAATTATCTTTCAACAATTATATTACGACAAACGAATATAGCCAATCAGCGACGACGTGTAGATAATAACTCGCGCGAAGTTTCAATTACCCATACGTCATTTCCGTCCGGGCGCGAGAACTCAATTGTCTATAGTTGTTCGTAAGAAAAATTTTATTGTATAAAATGAGGATTATACCTTATTTGTATGATCTACAGACTGGCAGCAGAAATAAAGGTAGGATTACATAAGCTTCGAATCTATCCGGAATAATAATAATGTACAGTACTGTGTTTATTTTTAATGTAAACCAACAAACGAGTAAATGAGATTAGTAGTGGTTACTTTTAGTCAAATCTCTGTATATTTATATATGAACCAATTACCTAAAGGTGGCCTCTACTGTAGTTTGAATTGAATAAGAATTCGAATTTCGATTAATCACGTAAGCTTATTCAAATAAATATTTGAGATGTAAACGGCTTTGTAGATACACGTGTTCGTGTGTTTACGTTTGTATACTCACATCTATATATATATATATATGTACTGTACAATATATACTTGTATATACAGTATATATAGACCCTTTTATATATGTAAACAATGTGAATGAAACCAATTTCCAGTACAGAATTATAAGAAAGCAAACGTTTTTGACCATGTTAAATGGGCATCTTCAGGCTAACTGTCCTTTGAAACTGTTTATTTATTTATTTAATATTACAAAGGAAATCATGTATATACGGACATATTATAACAAAAAAGACACATTACAATCATCGATATCAATTCCAGTACAAAATACAATATTAATAACGGTACAACATGTAATAATTAGCCTGTTAAAAAAAATAATACAATACAGTATTAATAACAATAGCAAGTAAAACCGGCAATAATAATAATTATAATAAAAAAAAGTAATAAAAATATACACAAAAACTGGCAGCGACTAGTCAACGCAAACAAAATATCTTAAACTAAACAAATTAGTTTTCATTAGCCGTTATCTAGTAATAAAATTATAAATAGTCATATTTATTATAATTGCATAACAATTGCTTATATGATTGAACTGATAATCTAAACCAAAACACTTTTCATTTAGTAACTGAATGTAAGACTCTAAAGATGTCAGAGCCTTACATTCAGTTACTAAATGAAAAGTATCAAAATTAACACTAGAGTAACAGCAACTGTTAAAATGAGGGGATTGGAATTTGTGTGTTTTAACGGCTGTGAAGGTCAGATAGCCTGAAGATATCTGTTTAACACCATTGAAAAACATTTACTTTCTTATAATTCTGTGTTGGAAATTGGTTTTGTTTGCCTTGTTAATTCTTGTTTATTAAGTATATGCAGTTTTCCATTTTTGATTATATATATATTTTTTCCAAAAAGAATGCTACCATTATAAATTATAATTATGATCTGAGAACATTGTGATGTATGTTAAAACTTTGGAAATTATCCAAGTTTCACATTTGTCTGTTACAATTTCTTGATGCGTGTACCTTATGTTGCATGACACACAGATTGAAACTCAAATTCTTCCTAAGCTTGCTATGCCATATCTGTTGTTGCCAAAATTTCAATCTGTTGTTTAAAAATTATCATCAGAAGGTATATCCCATGGCAGCCACGATTCTATAGCCCCTGCAGATTATTTGTGTTGTATAATGATGACAAGTGATTCTGACTATTCAAACTGCAGAACACAAAATGCCTTTTCTGAGGCAAAATCTGTGTTTTTGTTTATGGTGCTTCCTATAGATAGTAGATGACAAGATGTTTGAATGTGGATGGAGATAAAATTCGGATAGTTACTCTGTCAATTGGTGTATTTTGCATACGTCTTGGATAATAATTAACATAATGATAGTAATTAAAATGGTAGCATTCTTTTTGGAAGATCCTATATATATATATACATATGTACTATTCAATAATTACCTGAAGTATCTTCTACCTATTTTGTATTTCAATGCAGCAAAGTATGAAGTAGTTACATGAAAACAATTGATATAATGACCTTATTGCTGATTTAAAAAAGAAACAAATAATTCGAAAAATGGTCAAATTAGGTATATATAATGGTCATTATAACAACAATGTAAATTTCAAGAAAAAATTTATATAGGTAAAATTGGTATAAAAAAAATAGCAGATGTAACCTTGCAGAAAAAATTGCCATTGGATTTTGTACAGGAAATATTTTGAGGAAAAATTTAAGAAATATTTAATAGATGGTTTATAATTGCCTTCTATATAATTTAAAAAGTTTAGGGAAAATTCTGTGATATGTAATTCAAGTAAATTCAAAGTTTTAAAATGAAAGTTTATAAATATTATTTTGTTTTCCATGGATTTTATTTTAAATGTTTTTGAGGCCAAATCTCATCTTTGGTTCATTAAAATAAGTTTTTAAATCTCTGGTGAGTCTGGCATTCTAATGCTTTGGAAGATGTCATTTTTAATTTTTGGTTATGTTCTAAATGTTGGATATCTTTAAAGGATATTTTTAGACTTAAATTTATTGTAAGGAATTATGATGATGATGAGAATGATTCAAATTCTTAAATGTAACCGAAATATCAAGAGAGTTTTCAATAATATTCAACCTTTTTCTTGAATAATTCTTCAGTTCTTTTATACAATTTACAGTAAAAATGAAAAAATATTATTTAATAAAAAATTATACTGTTGTAAAACAAAGAAAACTGCTATTATACTTCAAAAATTATGTATTAATGAAATAAATAGATAAAAAAAAAAGATTTTGAGAAAATTATGTGAATCCCCAAAATATAAAGCCTAGTCTCTAGGTCAATACAAGTATTTCAATATTTTTTGTATGCAGATTTTTGCAGTACCATCTTTAATAAGAGATAGAATACATATCAAGTATGAAATACCAACAACCTAAACTACTTTGAGCAATCAATGATTAAAATCATTAAAGCTTTGTGTAAGACTAGTAATTACATACTGTATGCAGTTGATTAGACCCACATGCTTAAACAAATCTACATCCCAATTGCATTTAAAAAATAAACCCACAATACTTGAATAACTCCATATGTGGGTTTATTTGAATTAGATTTTCTAAGCAATAGCCTACTGTGAGCAACCTATTCAAAATTATAATTGTGTAAATTATTGCATCACATTTCTTGGTTTTTATTTAATGACTCTTGTAGCCATTCACACTAACACATACCAAATAAATCTACAGATTCAAATAGCTCTACAAGCTTAAATAAACACATATCCCAAACAGATTTTTTTAAAAATAGAGACACTAGGTCTGTTTGAATGTGTATCAGCTATGTGCTAATACTGGCAGTGTGAAAAGATAGCTTTATGCTTATTGAAGATACAATCAAATTCTGATTACAAGAAGCAAAGTTTTTATAAGTGTATTTTAACTTAAATAATATAGGTCTTGCTAATTCTGATAAAATTAAATGACATAACATTATCTGTGATTACAATAAGTAGATATACTATAATTTTCTGAGAGTCATTATGTATAGAGAAAGAGTTACTGAAAATATATTAACTTTCACGATGCATTAATGAAAGCATGGATTTATTCACATTAAAATGAATGGAGAGAACTACAGGAGATGTGTGTGTCTGTGCTTTTGGTTGTTTTGGAAAAATTGTATGATAGATGAATGTGCCTCTGGCATGCACTCAGGATTTTTCACATTTTCTAAAGAATGCAGGGTCCTAAAACTGTAATGAAAAGTCTTGAATTATGAGTCTCAGAAATATTATCATCAGATTTATATTAATAAACTGATTATAATGGAAACTAATATCCATTAATAGTAGTTTCCATTATAATCACATTATTATTTTCTTTTCATTTAAGTAGAGTTTATCATTAGCTCTCTGAAGCAGATTAAACAATTAAATAAAGTAAAATTTGTAAACATTTTTTATTTCTTTTAATTACACCAATTAAATATTTGATTCGACAATTTGGAGTTAATAAATTCTGAATTCAGTTTTATTAATATAACTTAATACAAAAATTTTATTAAATATTCTTTCTCTATTTGAATGTAAGTTGTTTACAAAAGAATTTTGAGAAATCTATATATATTGGTGATTTTTAAACATTCTGGAGTAGATATTTATAGCCGACTGGCAGACTTTACCCTTGTTTACTTCACTTGTTTGACCAATGTTTTGCCCAATTATTCCCAATATAGACTATTCATAACAAAAACTTCATAACAATTTTGTTATATAATACGTTAAAGGTGGGAAATTTATATCAGAAAACATGGATGTTCATTACTGTTTTCACTTTGCATCTGTAGAGCCCACCCACCACATGTATCACATATGTTTGTAGGAGTACTCGTCAAAGGATTAAATCATTGTGTTTCTTTTTCATTGTTACATGATCATATTAACTTAGAAGTAACATTAATTTTGCATTATGATTCTTATTTATGTGTTATTGTAATAAATGCATTTTTCTTATTTAATTTTTTTCTATAATTTTCATTCTATTAATTTGATTTATTTCAAATATTTTGTATTGTTTAGAATCCATCAACTTGAATTTTTTACTCAAAAGATTGACCTGTGAACCCGATGACATGTTTGTTTTAGATGGAGAGGTACGTCTATTTAATTATTTCAAATATAAAATAGTAATAATTGAAGTAAAATAATGACAATTTTTATTTTAGGAATATGATGTTCCTCCATTTGCTGCAAAATTCTGTTCAGGTAAAATTTAAATTTAATTATTATTTATTATGATGATAAAAAGATCTATTACTTACTCTGGTATTTATTAGTTTAATACACTGGTTTAGATAATATTTAATAATACATAGTCACATAAGATGGGACTAAGAATATAGCAATAAATAATACAATAACAGAGCAGCAGTAACAGTTTGAATTATTGAAAATTAAACTAGTTTTCTGCAAGTTTCTATATTTATTAATTTTTCTTATTCTTTGGCAATATCAATTTTTTCTTAATTTTTTTTCCACTTTAATCATTTCAACTTGTTAAATAACAAGAAAACTGAAATTATTTCTTTTTAAATCGTATGAAGGATGAATATTTTTAAGTGTCTTGTTTATTTTTTTGAAATAAGCAGATTGTAAACATTTGGTATTTGTACCAGTACATGTCTCTAGTGTATTTAGATTCTATTTGTTTATGTATTAAAATATTTTTATATATATTTTGAGTTACCATTGTAGCCTTGCTAAGCTGAAGGAAGTGAAAATGTTAAGGCTAGTTTCACACTTTGAGAATGGAAAAGAGAAGAGAAAATGATAGTAAAAAGTTTTAGGGTATAATTCTTTGTTTCTTACTAGTGACATATTTCTGTTCTCTTTTGGTTACAGGAAAAAGTCAACAGAAGTTCTGCATTTCTCTGCTGGTAGCCCACAATACTTTGTGATCTTTGACATGGAGAGAGCAAAATTATGTTTGATGAATTGCAATTTGTCATTTATATATTTTAAGTTAAACATTCAAATAAAGGGTGTTCCAAAAAAATGTATACACACTTTAACAGCTGATAGCTCAATTGATGTTTTTTTATTTCCTGGTTAATCCCATTAGAATTAATAATGGAAGTCAGACTAAGCTTTGAATAAGGAACTTCATTCTAAAATGCTACTGAAGTGTGAAAATGCAGTTGAAGTGCAAAGACAGTTTAGGAGGGAGTTTCAAACCACTCGCAATACTTTATTCTTCAGTCTCTTCGTTAATAGTATGGACAATCTTGGAATGTAACTTTTCTATTGACACTGCTTCAAAATGCATTGGACAGACATTTTGAGATACCTAACTCATGACTCGTTTGTTGCACAGATGTTCTTGGTCTTTGGTGATATGTTTCCAGTACTCTTTCTTCCTTTGTGGGCTTGTCGATGTTCATGGTCTTCCGAAATGCTTCTCGTGGACATTCTGAATAGTTCCATCAGCTTCAAACTTACCTCTAATTCGAGTGATGGTAAGTTGCATTGATGGATCTGTTTGAAACTTCCTCCTAAAGTGTCTTTACACTTCAACTGTATTTTCACACTTTCAGTAGCATTTTAGAATGAATTTCCTTTGTTCAAAGCGTAGTCTGACTTATTAATTCTAATGGGTTTAATCTGGAAATAAAAAAACATCAATTGAGCTATCAGCTGTTAAAGTGTGTATACAGTTTTTTGGGACACCCTGTAGATATTATCTTTATGTAGGCCTCTATATATTTAAAACACCTAAAATATCAAAAATTTGGGATCCTCTCTTAATTTCTTGTATGAAGTTATAATAATTTTTGTTTTTTCTCTCAAATTAGCCTCATATACTCTAATTTTTATGAATTTTATGACAGATTTCACTTTTGTTACATTTTCAAAGCTTTTATTTTTAACTACAAGTACTGAAAGTGCATGCACAGTTCTCTTGTTCCTTTGAAGTATGATTGCTTATGGAAAGAGAAAATTTAAATCTCTCTTTCCATTTTAATTTTAAGGAAATTTAATTTTAATTGTAGATTCGAATTTGTTATTATAAAAAATAGTTAGAAATAAAATTAAATGCTTTATTGTGTAATTTAAAAATCTGATGTTCAACAAGGTCTTAAAAATTGGGTAGGCATTAATGCAGTGATTTTCAAAGGAGTTTCCACAAAATGGATTGATGAAAGAAGGCAAAGAAGACATTTGGGTGATTGCCAAGGAGGAGTGCTTCTCAGGAGGACTTTCTATGGGGGAAACGGTCTCCTATTTAGGTGTTAGACACACAAAGAAAACTTAGAAAACTCCACATGGCCAGCCCATTGGTGAGGCATGATCCCATAATCAACTAACAGTGTTCAGTGGTTGTATATATTCAGCCACTGGTGGGCCCTGTGCCACTATACAGTACTTCACAGCCATGGTGCTGTGAAGTACCATATAGTGTTGAGCTGCACCATAACATTTCTTACCTGTATTACTTACTCAAAGTACTAAAAGCACAATAACTCTACATTGATAAAGTAGGAGTGCCACTATTAGAAAAAGCTGAAAATGCTGCATTAATGCACCAAGTTTAATTTATTTTATAATTTTTCAAACATTTGTGTTTTTCAAGTTTTTTCATTATTTGAGGTATTCTTGTGGACCATGTTACTTTGACTAATTGGAACTCTATTGTAACTGAATATAAACTTTACTAACTTTAAATTACATTTACAGAACAGAATACTTATTTTAGTTTAAAAAAATAAGATGTATCAATATGAACATCGAGTTAGAAACTTACTTAATTAATAGTTAAACCTTTACACTTTTATAATATGTAATCTACATTTCTAAATTTTATACATAATATATCAAGTTAATTTTTCATGTGAAAGGATATTTGAGTATCAAGTAGTTTGAACTGTTTCGTTAATTTTTCATTATTTATTCTAACTTTTGCACAAATACAAAAGTTAATTTTTGTATATTGTTAGTATATATTTACATAAAGTAATTTTAAGTTTGAGTTGTAAAACATATCTAAATGTAAAATTGTTGAACATCCTAAAAATTAAAATTTGTAACTAATTATTTTATTACAAATTATAAATTTTAACATTTGATTTATTATTTAGTTCCTGGACGCAGAAATATATTGGCCCTTTCGAGTGAAGATGGAGACGTACTTCTAATGAATACCAATTACAAAGCGAACAAAAGTCTCATTAAACGTAACTATTATTTTCAAATCTTTCATGATTATTTTTTGTTAATATTTTTGTAATTTTTTTTTAAACATTAAAATTAAATGCATGATTTTCCAAATAAATATAAATATTGAAATCCATTAATATAAACTGGATGTATGAAAAAATACAAACATTTTAAAAAATTCTTAATGAACTACAAGTCCTTGCGTTTCTAAGTTTTATGTTGTAACTATGAGTAGTAGTAGTAATAATTAAAACTTGTTACAAAAAAATTATTAAATCATTTAGATCAGGGGTGTCCAACCTTTTTGTTTCTCTGGGCCGCATTGGAAGAAGTCAAGGAGTTTTGGGCCACAAGTATANGCACTGTGCGGGGCCCAGTACTGATCAGCTAATTTAGTAATCGGATCAGTACTTATCTGCTCAACTGTTAACGCTAAATCTTTGGTTGACATCTTTATTCACAACACGCTTCAAACCACGCTACATCTACGTGTGACAGTGTTGCCAGCCATTTCGAAAATTCGTTTCATTTAAAAATAATAAATTAAAAATAAAAAAATATCAGATAATAAATATTTTAAAATAGTATTTAATGTAAAGTTAAACGTGCAGTAGAATTTTAGTTTCTTCGAAATTCTGTCGGAATTACTATTACGAGAATTCACGCCTTTTATTAAGAAAATGGCTTATTTCGTAATTTTTTATCATCGTTTCAACAGAAGTTTCCTGTCTACGATAGCAAATTTTAACGATAAGAAATAATTGATAATATTTTAAATTAAATACTTCATTAGAATTTCTTTTTAATATTCATGAAAAGTCGCGTTGAATTGTTCGTTTGTATTCGAGAAAATTGTGAATTTCTTTTATCAATCACTTAAAATAGTATTAATGGTGATTATTAATTAATAAATCAAGCATCTTATAAAAGTATTTTTTTTATTAAAGGGTAATTAAATGAGATATTATCGAAGACATAATATACGGCAGGAATAAAATTGCAAACCTTTGCAGGAAAACCAAATAAAGATTTACAGATAACATTTAATTGAATACAATTACGAACATTATTTATATTTCAGTGATTTCCTTTCAAATTTAGTATTTTATTCTCGTTAAAATTATCATTCGTGGAACCTAGGTGAATGTCACCCATGATCATCATCTGATTCTGCTCGCGGCCGGATGGCCGAGCGGTGAAGGTGGCAGCCTACCGCTCTGGGGGCCCGGGTTCGAATCCGAACGGGTCGAAAAAATCCCCAGGAATATTTCGGGGGGTGGTCCGTTCGGATATGTCGGACCCCGTCCCTCACCACCCGGCAGCCCCATTGTGGGCTTGGCCGAACCCATAATGGGCTTGCAAAAAGAGGCCCTCTTAGTGCCCACAGGGCGGAAAGAGTTTAAAAAAATTAATTCTGCTCCTCGTATATGATATTTACACCTTACGAGACAGGATTCAGGATTCATTGTGCATAAGACGGTAAATGAACTGGTAAAAGTCTTTAGTAAGTTATGTAGATGAGTACTCTATATCGGGTTTTTCTTTTACTCTTTCTACCCTGTGGGCACTAAGAGGTCTTGTTTTAGCGAACCCGTGTATAGGTTGAACCATGCTCATAGTGGGACGGTCGTGTGTCAGTTCAGATATGTCGGTTCACAATTGATCTAACATGTGTGAACGGCCTCCCAAAAATTTCTGAGGTTTTTCGATCTGTTTGAATTCGGTCCCTGTCTCCAGAACGGTAGGCTTCAGCCTCAATCTCTCGGATATCCAGTCGCTTCTTACGTCTTGCTGTGTGTTATCATATTTAATTTCTATCTTATTGCAGTTTCTCAAACTGGATCGTTTATCGTATGGGTCAGTTTATAGGTTTAACAGTGGCGTAGCGTGGGTATCAGCCGCCCGGGGCGGAGGAAAATTTCGCCGCCCCCTTATTTAGGTATCTCAATTTAAAAGACTAAAATTCAGTTTCGTCACAGAATAAGTAATGAAAAATTCCGTGCTCATTTCAATCGGTCCGAATCGTAGGTGCGACAAAAATATGAAATGAAATGGTTCAAATTTTTACAAGATATTATTTATTGTGAAATTTTGCCGCTCCCTAAAAGTGCCGCCCGCGCTACACTACGCGACTGAGGTTTAACGCTAAACCAGAATTTTAGAACTGGAAATCTTGACGTCGTCTTATATGCCGATATTACATACGGCTATAATTTTTTACAGTGGTTTTAGTTCTAGTTTACAATCAAATAAATCGCTCTGTGGACAGTAACAGGGCTTTTTTTTTTTTTTTTTTTTTTTTTTTTTTTTTTTTTTTTTTTTTTTTTTTTTTTTTTTTTTTTTTTTTTTTTTTTTTTTTTTTTTTTTTTTTTTTTTTTTTTTTTTTTTTTTTTTTTTTTTTTTTTTTTTTTTTTTTTTTTTTTTTTTTTTTTTTTTTTTTTTTTTTTTTTTTTTTTTTTTTTTTTTTTTTTTTTTTTTTTTTTTTTTTTTTTTTTTTTTTTTTTTTTTTTTTTTTTTTTTTTTTTTTTTTTTTTTTTTTTTTTTTTTTTTTTTTTTTTTTTTTTTTTTTTTTTTTTTTTTTTTTTTTTTTTTTTTTTTTTTTTTTTTTTTTTTTTTTTTTTTTTTTTTTTTTTTTTTTTTTTTTTTTTTTTTTTTTTTTTTTTTTTTTTTTTTTTTTTTTTTTTTTTTTTTTTTTTTTTTTTTTTTTTTTTTTTTTTTTTTTTTTTTTTTTTTTTTTTTTTTTTTTTTTTTTTTTTTTTTTTTTTTTTTTTTTTTTTTTTTTTTTTTTTTTTTTTTTTTTTTTTTTTTTTTTTTTTTTTTTTTTTTTTTTTTTTTTTTTTTTTTTTTTTTTTTTTTTTTTTTTTTTTTTTTTTTTTTTTTTTTTTTTTTTTTTTTTTTTTTTTTTTTTTTTTTTTTTTTTTTTTTTTTTTTTTTTTTTTTTTTTTTTTTTTTTTTTTTTTTTTTTTTTTTTTTTTTTTTTTTTTTTTTTTTTTTTTTTTTTTTTTTTTTTTTTTTTTTTTTTTTTTTTTTTTTTTTTTTTTTTTTTTTTTTTTTTTTTTTTTTTTTTTTTTTTTTTTTTTTTTTTTTTTTTTTTTTTTTTTTTTTTTTTTTTTTTTTTTTTTTTTTTTTTTTTTTTTTTTTTTTTTTTTTTTTTTTTTTTTTTTTTTTTTTTTTTTTTTTTTTTTTTTTTTTTTTTTTTTTTTTTTTTTTTTTTTTTTTTTTTTTTTTTTTTTTTTTTTTTTTTTTTTTTTTTTTTTTTTTTTTTTTTTTTTTTTTTTTTTTTTTTTTTTTTTTTTTTTTTTTTTTTTTTTTTTTTTTTTTTTTTTTTTTTTTTTTTTTTTTTTTTTTTTTTTTTTTTTTTTTTTTTTTTTTTTTTTTTTTTTTTTTTTTTTTTTTTTTTTTTTTTTTTTTTTTTTTTTTTTTTTTTTTTTTTTTTTTTTTTTTTTTTTTTTTTTTTTTTTTTTTTTTTTTTTTTTTTTTTTTTTTTTTTTTTTTTTTTTTTTTTTTTTTTTTTTTTTTTTTTTTTTTTTTTTTTTTTTTTTTTTTTTTTTTTTTTTTTTTTTTTTTTTTTTTTTTTTTTTTTTTTTTTTTTTTTTTTTTTTTTTTTTTTTTTTTTTTTTTTTTTTTTTTTTTTTTTTTTTTTTTTTTTTTTTTTTTTTTTTTTTTTTTTTTTTTTTTTTTTTTTTTTTTTTTTTTTTTTTTTTTTTTTTTTTTTTTTTTTTTTTTTTTTTTTTTTTTTTTTTTTTTTTTTTTTTTTTTTTTTTTTTTTTTTTTTTTTTTTTTTTTTTTTTTTTTTTTTTTTTTTTTTTTTTTTTTTTTTTTTTTTTTTTTTTTTTTTTTTTTTTTTTTTTTTTTTTTTTTTTTTTTTTTTTTTTTTTTTTTTTTTTTTTTTTTTTTTTTTTTTTTTTTTTTTTTTTTTTTTTTTTTTTTTTTTTTTTTTTTTTTTTTTTTTTTTTTTTTTTTTTTTTTTTTTTTTTTTTTTTTTTTTTTTTTTTTTTTTTTTTTTTTTTTTTTTTTTTTTTTTTTTTTTTTTTTTTTTTTTTTTTTTTTTTTTTTTTTTTTTTTTTTTTTTTTTTTTTTTTTTTTTTTTTTTTTTTTTTTTTTTTTTTTTTTTTTTTTTTTTTTTTTTTTTTTTTTTTTTTTTTTTTTTTTTTTTTTTTTTTTTTTTTTTTTTTTTTTTTTTTTTTTTTTTTTTTTTTTTTTTTTTTTTTTTTTTTTTTTTTTTTTTTTTTTTTTTTTTTTTTTTTTTTTTTTTTTTTTTTTTTTTTTTTTTTTTTTTTTTTTTTTTTTTTTTTTTTTTTTTTTTTTTTTTTTTTTTTTTTTTTTTTTTTTTTTTTTTTTTTTTTTTTTTTTTTTTTTTTTTTTTTTTTTTTTTTTTTTTTTTTTTTTTTTTTTTTTTTTTTTTTTTTTTTTTTTTTTTTTTTTTTTTTTTTTTTTTTTTTTTTTTTTTTTTTTTTTTTTTTTTTTTTTTTTTTTTTTTTTTTTTTTTTTTTTTTTTTTTTTTTTTTTTTTTTTTTTTTTTTTTTTTTTTTTTTTTTTTTTTTTTTTTTTTTTTTTTTTTTTTTTTTTTTTTTTTTTTTTTTTTTTTTTTTTTTTTTTTTTTTTTTTTTTTTTTTTTTTTTTTTTTTTTTTTTTTTTTTTTTTTTTTTTTTTTTTTTTTTTTTTTTTTTTTTTTTTTTTTTTTTTTTTTTTTTTTTTTTTTTTTTTTTTTTTTTTTTTTTTTTTTTTTTTTTTTTTTTTTTTTTTTTTTTTTTTTTTTTTTTTTTTTTTTTTTTTTTTTTTTTTTTTTTTTTTTTTTTTTTTTTTTTTTTTTTTTTTTTTTTTTTTTTTTTTTTTTTTTTTTTTTTTTTTTTTTTTTTTTTTTTTTTTTTTTTTTTTTTTTTTTTTTTTTTTTTTTTTTTTTTTTTTTTTTTTTTTTTTTTTTTTTTTTTTTTTTTTTTTTTTTTTTTTTTTTTTTTTTTTTTTTTTTTTTTTTTTTTTTTTTTTTTTTTTTTTTTTTTTTTTTTTTTTTTTTTTT